TTCATGAATGAATTAAAACATTAGAAAGAAAGATGTTAGTCACTTTACTGACTTGCAGGGATATCCCTGATATTAAGTGAAAAAAGCAAATTGTATACAACATAATTCTAATTTAAAGAACAAAATGTATTCATGCTTATATGCTTGAATATATTTGTATAAAGATACAGCAGGTTGTGGAATTGATCATTTCAGACTTGAGGGACTGAGATGGGAAGATGTTGAATTTTGATATCCTTCATATGTATCCATGGGTACGCACACGCACATGATCACACACACACCCCCGCCATACACACACCACTAAATGGATATCCTTTGCTTTTTAAACCACAAACCCATATTATATTTGTAATTTGAGAAACAAAGGAAATTGTTAAAAATAATATGAGTAATATAAACCCTTGGAAATAGTATTAATGTTACCAAAAAAATGTCACCAAGGTGTGTACCAGCACCCAAACCTACAGAATCACATACCTTATTAGCAATGTTCTAGCACAGTATTCAACATACTTTAATTTGCATTGTACTGCCAATCCAACCCAAGCCAACTGTCTACTGAAACCACCCCCACATTATCAAATTAAGGGGTCCACCCTGGGATCTAAATCTAGCCTAGGGACTAGAGACCTCTAGGGCATCTGAACTCTGACAGGGTAATTCAAAGGAGCTAGGGGAGAGAGAGGTTGTTAAAGACCTCAATACATAACAGAAAACTTATGATTCCTTAAATTTGGGAGTATCTAAGCCACTGAGGAGTTTGATCTACTTGAATGGCACAAGGAAGCCCTTGTACTGTGGTGATATGCTTAGTTCAAACCATTTCAGATGTACTTTCCACTTACAATTAGTAGGGGGAAATTAGTGAACATGTTCTCTGTTTTTTTTATAATCTCCTCTTTATATCTCCTTTATAATCTCCATTTCTGCAAAGTGTAGAAATGCTGTAATGGAATGTTGACTGGGTATATAAAATAAACATATCCTAAGGGCTCCAACTGAAAGAAATCCTAGTAAGAATCAAGAAATGAACTTTAAAGAAATGTGTTACACTTTGCTTCTCTTCTGTAATCCTTTGTTTTTCATCTTCAATCTAGTTCTATGAAGAGAAATTACAGTGTTTCCAGAGCAGATGTTTATATGACAAATCAAAGAAGGAGTTGGGGATACTTGGGAAAGGAAGTGAAAGTCCTCCTTTTAAACAAGGCAGCATTTATTGAACATTGGTGACTTCTTGAAACTAGTCACAAGGCTTCCACAGGTGTTTGGAGTGGTCTACCAGGCCTTGACTCTGCTCAGGAAGAGATCTCTGCCCACAGATGGAATGTTCTCTCAATTTCTCAGGTAATAGTGGAATGTTGTCACTCATTAGATGTGTTTCCATTCCCTCCAGAAACAGTTCTTTGATCTTAGACACCTCTTTATTCTCACCAAAGAACACTAAGGTGCTTTACTTTAGTGGCAATTTGAGGAAGAAACCTAGCTAGGCCTTTAATTTTCTAGTTGATACTGTCTCATTTTCAGAGCAGCTTTGAAAGATGCCTTCTCCTAGCTAAATTGAGAGATGACCTGGTACAGAGAGGAATGCTCTTCTAATCTGTTTAAACAAAAGATACAGAAGGGAGCAAGTGTTAATCAAATGAGGGCTGCTCTTTCTGAGGCAGATTGTTCCAGCTGTGCAACAGAACTGCCTCCATGTGAAAGGCTCTGGACCCAGCAATGGTCCTTTGAAAATGAAATGTCCTCTGCAGACCACATAGGATAGATACACTGGACTCTGCTTCAGCGAATACTGGGCCTAGCAGGACTGGGACCCTGCTAGGGGAAGGCCTAACTGGGGGGTCACTTGAACAAACACATTAAAGTCAGTCTCTCCTTTACCTTCAAGGGATAAGAACAGCTCCAGTAATTCAAAGAATTGTTCTTAAAAAACCTAAAATTTGCCAGGCATGGTGGCTCAAGCCTGTAATCCCAGCACTTTGGGAGGCTGAGGCGGGTGGATCACGAGGTCAAGAGATCGAGACCATCCTGCTCAACATGGTGAAACTCCGTCTCTACTAAAAATACAAAAAATCAGCCGGGCATGGTGGCGCGTGCCTGTAATCCCAGCTACTTAGGAGGCTGAGGCAGGAGAATTGCCTGAACTCAGGAGGCAGAAGTTGCCGTGAACCAAGATCGCGCCATTGCACTCCAGTCTAGGTAACAAGAGCAAAACTCCATCTCAAAAAAAAACACCTAAAAGTTACATAAAAGGAAGAGTTTGAAGGGGAGAAGTTCTCCAAAGGTGAGCAAAGAAGAAAAATACATTCAGATGGCAGAAGAGCTGCCAATTCAGTAAGTTGAGCTGTTCCAAATCTAACCATAGTTCTCAGTAGCATCCAATGTTGAAAATGCTGCCACCCCAGAAACGTCTGCACTTTGTTCCCAATGAGGTATTAAGGAAGATTAACACCCCATCACAGGCTTGGGGTCAAGGGAGAAAAAAGAAGCTATAACAGAGACAAAGTTGGAAGCAAATAAAATTTTCACAAAAATTGAAATATGAACTGATATTGTTTAAACTTGGCCATTTATTGGTTTTATAAAAATGCTAAAAAGTAGATTTAAAGAAGTTTTCTGAATTTCAAAGAACGATATTTTATACAAAATCCAAAGGAGCTTTAGAAAGCCTTAAGATTTGTCTAAGGATGATGAAATGCAACTAGATGAGTTTGGAGAGGTGACAAGTTCAAATGTTGAAGCGGTAATGAGCTTGAGAAGATGCCAGGAGATAAAACAGGTTCTTTGGCACTTTGGGGAGAAAAAAAATCAACTCTTTTTCTTGCTACATAATATGCAGCATCTTTTTATATAGTTTACAAAGGAAAAAGCTCTTCATCTCCCAGAGTAAATGCTTGATATAAAGCCTCATTGGCTGTCTCTTTGAAAAGCAACGATTATAGCTAGTGTAATTAAAATAATTATAAAAGAAATGGGTACAAATTCTTAGTCATGATGCAACTTTAAAATGCCATTTTCAGGAAAAATTGAAGAAACTGGGCATTCATGTACACATATTTAGACCATTTAGACAAACAACTTTTATTTTGCAAGAGTTAGTTTTCATGCAGCAAGATGTTATGGTTTGAACAGTGCCACCCATACATTTATTTCCTCACGACTGATCAAACTTGGAAGAATTAAAACTCAAATCCAGCTCAGTGGCTGGCCTATTTTTTTTTTCTTTTAATGAGAATGAGTCATTCAGAAATCGGCTAAATGTCTGCAGTGAGAGGGCTCCTGGAGAGCTGGCCAGAGTGTGAGAAAGCTTTTATAGTTACTTCTTCTGTCAAGTTAACAATGCTGTATCAGTGCAACTAAAATGGTGAACTAGCCTTTCACACTAACAAATAGCAGCCTCTAACAATGAATAAGCTTTCTTCCCATCTAGTGAGTAAAACTATGTGTCATCATTGGATTAATAATTTTTTTATACATATTACAGAGAACCTGGGAAAAGAAGAGCCCAGACCATTTTTATTAGTTGTTCCAATAACTTGGTGGTCCTTTCTTCCCATCTAGTGAGTAAAACTATGTGTCTGTCATCACTGGATTAATAATTTCTTTTATACATATTACAGAGAACATGGGCAAAGAAAAGAGCCCAGGATATTTTTATTAATTATTCAGATAACTTGGTAGTCCTTGCCTCACTAAATTTTTTTGCTAGGTTGGAACTTTATCTTTTATTTGTATAGAAAGCATTTTCTAGTAATGACGCATTTCTGGTAAAGCGGCTATGTGAGGTTTACCCTGGAATAAGCTGATTGCAAGAACCCTGACAGATCATCTGAGACAGATCCAGGTTCTCTATCATCTGTACTCTTTCTTTCCTTCTCAGCCTTCTCCTTTGTGGAGGGGGCCCTTTGGGGCATAATTACATCAAAGTTGTGCTATGAGGGTAATCTTTCTTAGCACCACAGAGGCTGGTTTTATATAACAAACATTTCACTCCAAAGAATCTGAAAAATGTAAGCCAAATCCCATTGAGGGCTGCGAGGTGCCACTACCTCTGATTCCTCATTTTCCCCCCGGGATGGACCCAGGAGCAGTGGTTTCCTGAGTTTTAACCACCTGGGAAGTTGGAAGGGTAGAAAAGAAGGAGGAAGACCAAGGGAGAAAGGGCCTAAGGCTGACTCAGGTTAAAAGAGCCCAGTGAGAATAGTAAAAACAAAACAAAAAATTGAGCATCATATTCTGGACTCTAAGAATGTCTGTGGTGAATGACTAGTAAGACAATTTTTTTTTTCTGACTGTAAGTGCATGCCTCCTCAGACATTACAGGGCATTTTAGAGGATTACATGTAGGAGGTAAAATAAACTCCTAACTCTTCAGAAAATAAGCGCTCCTGTTGTACACATGGCTGTATTCTTGTTTCATTGCAATTTGGACTTTTGAGAATTATTCAAAAGAGCAGTAACAGCAAGATGGCTTTAAATTCTTCTTGCCTCTAGAGAAGACTGGGACCCCAAGTGTCCATTTATTAAGAATAAACTTAAATGGATAAGCCAGTATGATGGAAGTAGTGGTCAAAGTTAGAAAGCCAAACAACGTCAGCTGTAAGATACTGATTTTCATGTTTACTGTGTACAGTAGGAGATACTGTGTATAGATAAGAGCTCTTTATCTGGCATTTATGTGACTTGTGATTGCCTTTATGCAGACTGCACATGACTGCATTTTGTATTATGCTGTGTTAGCAGCTCCTACAGCATGATCTGTAAAATCAGGAGGGAGTGGGTCTCCCTGAACTCTAATTATTGTAACTATTGCAATCAGATGCAAAGAATGGAGGAAATGACACATAGTGATTATCTTATTATTTGATCCTCAAACAAGCATAGGTATTTCCTTTACATCACTAAGTGGCCAAGCATGTTAGGAACTTAAGGAGGAACATTATTCCTTCATCCCTCTGACTTTAGCACAATCTTGGTGAGTGAAACCACAATGAAAGCAACTTCTGGACCTAGAGGCTGTTACAGTTCAGTTGAACGGGCTGCTCCAACAGGTTATAATAATGGCATTTTACACTCTGCCTCTATTGGAAATAAGATATTGTCACTATCTTATGGATATCTTTCCCTCCAGGATTTGAGTAAAAGGTCACTTCCTCAGAGAGGCTCCCTGATCTAAGTAGGGCTTCCAAATGCACATCTCTTCTTCATTATCGTCTCTCACTGCATCCTATTTTAATCATACTTATAACATATTATAATCAGAATTTTATTTTTCCATGTACATAGCAGCAAATGCAACAGCCTGGCATGTGGCCGGTAGTTGAAAGAGGGATTGTTATCACTGGTGGCTCCATGAAGCTCTCTGTATCAGGCAAAGAAATCCTCAGTGCCTGGGTGTGAACTCCAAATAGCACCCCCTTACCTGAGGCACCTTCCTGCCTCTTGTCATCTCCAGAAGAATTTCACCGGAAACTACCATGTGGAACATAAATAAATGAATGTAAAAATATAGACATCAAGAGACATTAAAAAGCAGAGTTAGATCATTTCCTCACCTCTAACAGGCCTCTACTGAAACACTGCTTTCTTAGCAAGGCTTTCCCTGATCACTCTATGTAGAATTGTAACCCCCCGCTTCCTACCCAGCATGTTTGTCCCCTTTCTCTGCTTTATTTGTCTATGTAGCACTTTTTAGCTTCTAATACACCATTTGACATTTCTTTTTGTTTATGTCCCCTTGCACTGGAATGTAAGCTCCATGAAGGCAAAGACTTTGCTTTGTCCATTTCACTATCTCTTACCTAGAACAATTTCCTAATATAGAACAACTTAAGTCAGTGCTTAATAAATTGTTGTTAAATGATTGAATATGGACTTCTAAATCAAGCCAGGCTCAGTATCTTATTAATTATGTCACTTTGGACAAGTTGCATAGCCTTTCTGAGACCTAGTTTCCTGATGGTAAGAAGAGAATTATCTTCCTCATATGATTTTTGAGTGGATTAGATGGACATATGAAAAGCACCTACTGGGTATTTAATAAAATTAATTATATTTCATCTTAATAAAATCCAAATGAAATTTACGTTAATTATATACTGGTAATTAATTTGCATTAATTATATCCCAGTGATTTTGGTATTACCAGGGAAAGCTTGATGTATTATATAATACTAAGCATATCTTTTCATCTTTATATCCTCAGTACACAGCTCAGCTTCTAGCAAATATGAGTCACTCAGTAAGGGTGTGTTGGTTTGTTTTGTCTCTTCTCAGCCTAAAAAGAATAACATGTTAAAGAAAATTGAAAAATACACAGAAAAATCAAGTCACCTATAGTCCTACTATAGTAATATGATCATGATTATTATTTTACTGTATTTTCTTCTGAAATTTTTCCTATTGCTATTTTTAAATAGTAATTATAGTGTACATATATTTTTATATCTTGCTTTTCTTCACTTACTTTTTTGACATAAACATTTTTCTATGTAGCTATGTTATCTTCCAAGCATTAGTTTCTGATAGTTGCATCATTTTTTAAGTAGATGTATCATAGTTTACTTGATCATTTTCTCATTATTGGATATTTAAGTAATTTACAACTGTTCACTTTAATATATTTTAAATGATTTTTAAAAAGAGAGACAGAGGAAAGAACTACCCATCCCCTCATCCCCTGCTTCTAAACTACAGCATGTCTGAACCTTTTGGGAAGAGAAACTGAATTCCTCTACTCTTCATTTGCAAGAGAATACTTCTGAATAATTCATGAGTACATAAAGATGGAAAAGACATACATCATCTAGCTGATTATTAACATAATACAGCCAAATGAAACATTATCCTAAAAAGTCACTTAATTGCAGCTGTGGAAATGAGACTTTGAACATTTTAGAAAGAAGTCATGTTAGAGATGTAAATAAATACATTTCAAAATTATTTTAAGACATTGCCTAGCTAAAATTCTTCCCTATAAATGGTGGTTATTGAGTTTTTTTCCCCACAAAAATGGAAAATCAGTTTTTCTAATTTGCTAAGTTAGTGAACAACCTAAAGAATAATGTAGTAAATTTCAAAAATATCTATAAATAAAATGTAACAAAATTACCTACGTTTTTGTATATTAATGTTAGTAGGGGCTTTTTTGGCTTTTTATTTTTTTAATTAGGTCACATGGAAAATAACTCAAATAGTAATATGAAAATTATGTGCTAGTTACTTCAATCACCGATAATTTTTTAATTATGTAATTCCTAAAAGAAAAGTATCTTTCTTATATGAAAAATGAAAACATAAACAGAGAAAAAAGATAAGTATAATGACATCTGTTTTATACAGAACCAATGAAAGTAAAAAGAAATGGAAGGTTGGAGGACTACTCACAGACTCTTTGTAGGTTACTGAATGCACATAAGATTCAAAAACGGAAGATACATTAGTTCCATTTTTTTTTACCTTCAGTTCTCCAGCTCTGAGCTCCTGTATCCCAAACAATCTCTGTCAGCTTCGTTCCAGGCCTGATGGTATAATTGCAGGTCTTCTGCGTTCCAATCCCTGTTTTCTGGATTCAGTGTCTTCTTATTCTAGTGTTTATCCCCTTATTTTGGTTAAAGTACATCCTCTACTTGCTTCCTAAGAAGGCAAATGTTTTGAGTACTTGCATATCTGATAAATGCGTTTTTTTTAGACAAGGTCTTGCTCTGTCACCCAGGCTAGAATGCAGTGGTGCCATCATGGCTCACTGCAACTTTGACTTTTCGGGTTAAAGCGATTCTCCTGCCTCAGCCTCATGAGTAGCTGGGACCGCAGGCATGTACCACCATGCTCAGCTAATTTTTTAAAATTTTTTTGTGGAGACAGAATCTTCCTATGTTGCCCAGAATCTTCCTATGTTCCTGGGTCCAAGCAATTCTCCAGCCTTGGTGTCCTAAAGTTCTGGGATCATAAGTGTGAGCCACCAAGCCCAGCCAGGGAAAAATCTTTATTCTACCCGTTATGCTACTTGATTAACAGTTGGGTTGGGTGTATAATCTTATGATTTTGAAGACATTGCTCCAATAATTTTTAGCATCACTTTTTGCTAAATTCCTGCCAATTAAAATACACTTACAGGTGAAGGTAGAGGGCCTGGGGGAACACAGTTGACTGTCAGATTTCTGAGATCAGAGTGTAAAGGGAAGTTGGTACTGATTGTTCAAGTTCAAGCCTCCTTCAGTTCAAATCCTCTGGAGAATAAATCAGTTGTTCCTGAAAGACAAGAGGCTAGAATAGTTGCCTTGTGGAGATGAGGGGATTTGGGAGGTTCACCCACTTACGTTCCTTCTCTTTTTATCCCTACATGTACTTCTCCCCAAACTTCTGCAATACATGGTTCTTCCAAGAGCTGAACCTTCAGAGGATGCCCAGGGCAAATCAGCATATTTCCAGTCTCATCAGAACCATGTTCTCATCTGTCTTCTTTTAAAATTTTTCATTCACCCCTGTCTCTTATCTGTGCTCTATGTCTTTGTGAAGTAATAACTTTAACAATCACAAAGACAATCTGTTTTTCTTAAAAGTGCTGAAGAGAAAGAGCCTCTTTATTCTACAAATGATAGCCTCTCAGAGCATCCTTGACTCCAGGCTCCTCTGGTGCACTGTTGTAGTCCTCCCTCTAAGCTCTTGGAGTGCTGTGAACAGATCTCTAGTAGCTATTTTCTGTTCTTTGCTGATGTCTTCTTCTAAAAATACTACATTACACTCTGTATCACACATTTGAGCACTTGATCACATCCCATGTTGATTCACCTTCTATTTCATGCATGTTAACTGTAAGCCTCTCACTGCAAAGACGAAGACTAATATTTCTTATATAGGCCTACAATGCCTAAAGTAGGCTATCTCTGATATTAGTGTGCTTACAGATCACATAGAGAACTTGTTTAAAATGAAGATTCCCAGACTTCACCTCTAAGAAATTGAGAATGACTGTGGCAAGGTGCCAGAGATTGGGTATCTAACAGGCACATCCATATAATTCTGACATAGATAGCCTTGGTCTATACCTTGAGATATATTGTCTATGGGCAATCCTGAGCACTTGTTTAATAAATGAGTTGATTGCATTGGATCATTTGTTGTTCTCCCCCATTTGATCTTACAGGATTAGAAATCTGGTCTCCTTTAATATGCCATCATGAATCCGACATCCATGCATTTATCTCAGTCTTTTATTAGACTTCTTATATATTTTTTTGAAATTTAATGAGAATTTAGGATTTCAAATTTAAGAAGTTTACAATCAGCTATATATAGTTCTTTTATTTTGTTGCTCTTGATTTATTTCTTACAGGATTCACAAGGATTCTATTTGTAAAATTTTTTGATTTGGCAAATGTATTAGTCAGCTTGAGCTGCCATTAATACCATAGACTGGGTTGTTTAAATAACAGAGATTTATTTTGTCCAGTGGGGGCTGGGAAATCTAAGAATAAGACATCAGCATAATCAAATGCTGGTGAGGGCTGTTTTCCTGGGTATGCCTGCATGTTCTTTCCTAGCTATATGCATGTAGAAAGGAGAGAGTAAGGGCTCTCTCACTCTTCCTCTTCTTAGAAGGCCAGCTATTGAATTATGGCCCCACCCTTATGATCTCATTTAACTTTAATTACTGCCTACATGTTCCATCTCCAAATATGGTCACATTGGGGGTTAGGGCTTCAACATATGAATTTTGGAGGGTCACGGTTCACTCTATAGCAGCAAACTACCCATAATATTTAGGTACGGTTACAGCCTCACATAAATATGGGCACCCAGGGCTTCCATGTAGCAAGTGCTCAGTAAACATTTGTTTGATAAGTGAAATAGCCATCTTCTAGAAAACGATGCAACAGCTAATGGAAAAAGAATATCTGCTGAAAGAATATCCAGCATGCTCTGCTTTAGAAAAAGTCAATGTATGAAAAGGAGGAAATATGCATACTAAGACTTCCTTTGGGCATATGAAACATTTTAAAATTCCATTTATATGTGTTTTCTTTCTGAAAACCTCTATTAAGTAAATTGAGATGTGTATATAAATAGGCAATAATTCAGATAAAGTTAGTAAAAGAAACAATCAGACTGACAATCTGAAGTGCTTTATCCTCAAAGGTTTTATGAAGTGAGATATTCAACAGGCTGGAGAAGAGAGAGGTGGAAATTTGAGCACTGGAAATTAAACACATCCACTACAGTTCACTGGCCAAAGTCAAGTCCTATGATCACATCTGACTTTCAGGGTAGAGTGAGAACAATTCTCCCTTGTATAAGAAGTGGACTGGTCAATGAATTGTAGTAAAGCCTGTCACAATGACTTTTTTACTACGATGAAAAATTGTAGTAAAGCCTGTCATTGTGACTTTTCAATGAAAAATCGACCCTATTCTCCAAGGTATTTATTGTAACATTTTATTTTTACTTATTTGAGTGTTAGCAACAATGCTTGACCACTGCATAGAAAATAAAAGCAAAAGATGGCTTAGAGTTCTACAGCCACTGGTAGATGTGCAGCAATTTCTCTTGCACACCTCTTTTTGGCATCTGAGTGAATCTGAAGAGACAATTTTGGTCTTTGAGGTTTCAGAACTGATTGAAAGTGAAATAATTAGGGTCTCTTGCTTTGTCTGAAAAAGCCAGAACCTGAAAGGTGCCCCAAAGGGAAGAGTAGCATTTAAATGCAACAGGCCCTAGAGAAGAAAGATGCTGGCATCTACAAATCTGCTGAATGCCCCTCTCAACAGTTTTCTTATCCTCCCCTACTTGGAGAGCTGAGCAAAGGGTGCAAAGAACAGAGACAGCAATCTCAGGGCTCACAAAGCAAGCAGACAACCTTTCTTTTTTTGAAAGTGAAAGCTAAACCTACTTTCTATACTGCTTCGACAAAGTCAGAACTTCATTGTAATTGTCTCATAAATGATCCACAAGTACTACTAACTAACAAGAATGAAATTCATGATTCTGTGTCACACTCCCAGCAGATACTGAAACAATACCCAAATAACATAACATCAGAATGAACAGCTTCATATTAGTGGGAATGGGAGTGAGTAATAGAATAAAAGGAAAGAAAAATGACCTAAATCTGCCCATTTGTAATTGTTATGAGGTCTGAAACCACTTTATTTACCTTGACTGGGGGAAGGACCTTGGTTCTAATCTAAACAGAAGAGAATATTCATAAACTAATTTGACCAGGGCAGAGAGCTATGGGCAGAATTTCACTATATATGAGCAATTTGGAATCGTGTTGCAACATAGGTCGAGTGAGTATTTCACTATAGTAGAACCTTTCTAACTAATTTCTACTCAAGTAATCTACTAGGTTACGCAACTGTCTACAGTTTTACTGTAAAATATCCCAACTGGATACTATAGCCACTAAAAACTGGTAACTGGTAGGCTAATCTCTTATTAGCCTCCATGAACTTTTTCATTTCCCACCAGTTGAGCTGTACACTTACAAAGAGTGAGCTGTATTTGTCCCCAGACTTACTATTATCAGTGGTACTTGTTTTAATTGTAACATTTAATTACATATGTAAACTGATGCAATGTAATATGAGAAGAAAGAGTTGCTTGTTTTCTAAAAACAAGCCTGAATGCCTTGGAAAGATTAAGTAAAAGGGGATCGTAGGAGAGATAAAGGTAAAAGATTAAAGGGAGAAATAAAATAAAATAAAATAAATTTAGAAGAATTCTGTATTCATTGCTTTGCAGGTGACTTTACTTCATTTTACAATTACTGAAAATGGACATCTTTATAATTATAATGTGATTTACGCAAGATAGATACAATCCTTTACTCAAAGAGAAGCACTTGGTTTTACATTAAAAGATTGAATATTAATGCATATTAATAAGCTGTAAGCAAACACAAAATTTTTAAGCTAAGTGATCTTTTTGTTTTTCTTTCACTTTTTTCCATTTTGTTATTAGAAAACTCTTTATTCTAATCACCACTTAATGGTCCCAGCTTTCCACGCTGTTGCATTGTGAACTAACTTTTCAATACATAGACTTTGGGAGACATATTAAAACCATACCATCCACCCTTTAAAAGTGGTAACATAAAATACATACTATTTTACTCTGTCTTTTTTTAAACATATAATACATATCCCAGAGGTCCTCTATAGAAGGTATGCCTCATTCTCTTTACAGACTCATAGTTATTTACTGTGCTGCTATAACAAAGGTTATTTGTTATAGCAAGTGCCTGACCTACTGATGAACATTTGGAAAGTCCAATGTTTTGCTATCACACATAATGCTAGAATAAAGAGTTTTCAGTTATCCCCTCTACTTGAATGTCCAGTTTCCAATTTTACATGCTCCAAATTGAACTATTTCAATTTCTCCTCTAAATTCATTCCTCATTTGTTTTCACCACCTCAATAAATGGTGTCACCATGAATCCAATTGGTCAGGCCAAAAACCTAGGGATCATGACTGATACTCTTCTTTCTCATATACCCTGCATGTAAACTGAAATCTTTCTCCTGCTCAAAAACTTCCAAATGGCTCCCATCATTCTATTTGGTTAGAATAAAAACCAAAATCTTTATATGACCTTAAGTGTTATCATAATGTAGATTTTCATCACCTCTTTGATTTCATTTCCTCCATTGTTCCCTCTGTCTTAATCTGTTTCGTGTGGCTATAACAGAATACCTAAGACCGGTAAATTTTTAAAGAAAAGTGGTTTATTTAGCTCACGGTTCTGCAGGCTGGGAAGTTTAAGGAGCAAGTTCTGGCTTCTGGCTGGAAAAGCTCAAAAGGAAGGCAGATACGTGAAGAGAGAAAACAAAAGGGATACTATGACTTTATAACAACCCACTCTTGCAGCAATTAATCCATTTTCATAAGAACTAATCTAGTCTTGCCAGAGTAAGAACTAACTACTGTAAAAATACCATGGAGCCATCCCAATACCATAGGGATCTACCCCTATGATCCAAACACCTCTCACTAGGCCCCACCTCCCAACCCCACCACATTGGGAAACAAATTTCAACATCAGTTTTGTCAGAGACAATCCATATCCAAACTATAGCACCTTCCTCACTGTAGCTTAGCAGCACTGGCTTCCTTGCTGTTCCTGGAAGATGCATCATGCCCACCACAGAATCTTTGCACTTGCTTCCCTGTGCCTAAAAGGCTCTTTACGCCAGATATTTTCCCAGATCACTCCCTCACTTCCTTGGGGCACTGCTCAAATATTTCCA